TTTACATATTTGTGTGTGTGTGCTGGGTAAGGGGTAGGGAGATGTGGATAGTGGGAGAGGGAGGGGGAAGAAGAGGGAGGGAGAGAAAGAGAGACCGAGATTGCAATAGAGATGTAGATAGATAGATAGATAGAGAACATTCTAAGCACAAGTATACTTTCCCCAATGCAAAACAAAAGGTCACAATCCTTATAGATTATTCACAAAATTTTCCATGTGTCTTATAGGAGTGAAATTTTTTATAGTTTCCCCCTTCCCTAATATGCATTTTACAACTCACTTACTGACTTAGTACTTATTCTTGCAAATAATAATATATTTTACAAAACATCTATTACTCTATAAACTAAAAGTTGTGAGTAACAATGCATTTTACAACTCACTTGTTGTTTTACAAGTTAAGTCTTTTGAATATCAATACATTTTACAACTCCTTTTTTACACACTAAACTTTATGAATAACAATATACTTAACTATTAAGTTTTTGACTACCAAATCTTGTGAACAATAGACATTTTCAATTCAGTTATGAACTTAATAATTGTGAATAAAAATACATTTTTACAAGGCACTTTTTTACTAAGTAATCTTTTGAGTAATAATGCATTTTACAACTCACAACTTAATACATTTCATGTGGTTGAGTGTCGACTCACAAGAATTATCATCAACATGGCTTTATACGAAGGAAGCTCAGAGTTATAATCATTATTTCACAATACCAGTGTTTTTGAATAAAGAGGACATGACTGAATACTTGTTCTCATATAATACTTAGTATCGAAAGCAAGCAAACAAACAAACCAAAAAGAAGAGGAAGATTATTTAACATGTCTTAGTTTTCATAATTTGAGTTTACAGGATTAAATGTTCATGATGACAATTCTTTCATTCACAGGAGGTAACTACAAGATAAAGTAAACACAGTTACATATGTCCATATTTAATAATACTGTCTAGCAGAAAGGGAGAAAAGAAAAAAAGAAAGAAAATGAAATGAATAAGATGGAAACATAAAACAACAAAGTGTAGCTTGTCTGGGAATATGGCGCGTCAACTTAAATAATTTCCACTTCATATATGCTGCTAA